AAAATCTACAATAAACACCAGGGTTGTCAAACGATTAATCGCGATTAATCGCATCCAAAATAAAAGTTTGTGTTTAATAATAATAATATATGTGGGTGCACTGTGTATAATTATATATATATATATATATATATATATATATATGCTTTTATATATTTAAGAAATATTTTCATACTGTATATAGATTTATCTATAATTCATATTATATATAAATATTTTATACATAAATTATATTTTTTTCTTAAATATACATGCATGTGTCTTTATTTATATACACTGTAAAAAATATTTTCAAGATTTGTTATCACAACATCAACAACATTGTTATCACATCTTTTGTCAAATCAACTTTATAATAATTTATTTAGTTGAGATAACTTTGAGTTTTTGATGGTTATATTAATCTCCTTCATTGTATTAACTCACTTTTTCCAGTTCAATCAACTTAAAATGTTAAGGCAACCCAGGTTACTTACTTTTTTAAGTTAAACCAACAATTTTTTTACAGTGTAGTAATCACAAAATTTTTTCTTTTGTCAAATCAACTTAAATCATCTATTTAGTTCAGATAACATATAATTTTGAGTTTCTGGTGGTTAAATTAATCTCCTTCATTGTATTAACTCACTTTTTCCAGTTAAATGAACTTAAAATTAAGGCAACCAGATTACTTACTTTTTTAAGTTAAACCATCAATTTTTTTACAGTGTATATACAAAATAATTATACACAGTGCACTCACATATTATGTAAACACAAACTTTTATTTTGGATGCGATAAATCGCGATTAATCGTTTGACAGCCCAAATAAAAACAGGTCTCAGCAATGCAGTTACTTCAATCTAAATAGACCGAATTATTAAAAACTTAAACGATCATAAATCTTGATTGCGTTGGAGCACAGATTAAAGTTTGGTCTCTTTTTAAGACAACACTTGGCAGATTATTGCTGAAGTAAAACAAGAAAAAGTGAACAAAAATAAAATATTTTCAAAAACATGTTTTACTCTAAAACTGTGAGAAAAATCTAAGCCATTAATCTTAACTAGTTCCATATCTGAGGAGGATATCTCAAAAAATGAGCTTTCAGTAAGATTTCGTTTGGCTGCAGTACCAAACATTTCCACTAGATGAAATTCGCTCATTTCTGACCGCAAACAAAACTGATGCTGCGTCCCAATTCACATACTATCCATCATAAATAGTATTCGAAAATAGAATTAGTACGTCCCAAATCGTAGTATGTTGAAATGAGTGTTTCAAAGACACCAGGATGGTCTACTATTTCTGGTCAGAATCCGAAGTGTAGATCGACGCACACTCTAACGGCTGATATTGCCCACAAACCATTGCGCGTTGGACGGGGATTCGGTTAGAACTATTCGGTTAGAACGAGTCCCACGGTTATGTAGAGAGGTTTATGATAAAGAGTGATTGAGTGATTAATTATCAGTATCTAACCTGATGAAAATGAATTTATTCAATGTTGTCCACATTTTATTGCATATGCAGCAGCATTGTGAACTTTTGTAAAGATAAAGACGTTTTGTAAAGACGTTTAGCCATTTCTTTTGAAATGCATCATTATATTCAAATTGCAAATACAAGGAGAGAATGAAAGACCCACGAATGGTAGGTGAACGTGCTCTGAAACGGTAGGAAATAAAATTAAATAGAATAGAGGATTTTAACTGTGACAAGATGATTGACAGGGCAGTTTATGGTGACAGGATGCACGCAGCACGCGCAACAAAGCGGTCCGTTAAAGATGACGTCGATAGTATGTCCCAAAGCTTGCCTACTCTTTCGCTACACACTCAAAATATGTACTTTTTCTTCACAAAAAGAGTACATACTTTTAGGGCGTAGTATAAGTAAGCGAATTGGGACGCAGCATGAGACTCTTTTTTTCAGGACAATTTAACCTTTTCGAATCACGTACATGACCTTTTGTGTGTTAACACAGCAAGTGTCAAAACCATTACTAAGTTTGGGACCATTCTCATTAAGTACAAAATTCTAAAAACACAAAACGTAACATGTTTTAGTCAATAATGACAGCACAAATAACAGCACTTGAGGGTTAAAAATGCTAACTTGCAAATCCCTGTAAAACCCATGTTAGTTTCACTCTTCGGATGTAAATTGGTCATTGTTGATGAAAAAAAAGAACATGCCCTCTGCGGTTTTCTAGTTTTATGCAGTCTTTATATGTTTAATACACATATATTGCTATACACTACCATTCAAAAGTTTGGGTCGATACGTTTTTTTAAACATTTTTGAAAGAAGTCGCTTCTGCTCACCAAGGCTGTATTTATTTGATCAAAAATACAGTAAAAATAGAAAAAAAATGGAAAACTCTTATTGTGAAACTTTTCCATTTTTTATTAGTAATTTATTCCTGTGATCAAAGCTGAATTTTCAGCATCATTACTCCAGTCTTCAGAGTCACATGATCCTTCAGAAATCACTCTAATATGATAATTTGCTGCACAAGAAACATTTCTTATGTTGAAATCAGTTGCGCTGCTTGTGCTTAATATTTTTGTGGAAACCGTGATACACTTTTTTCTGGATTCTTTAATGAATATAAAGTTTTAAAGAACAGCATTCATTTTAAAATATTATGGTATAACATTATACATGTCTTGACTGTCCCTTTTGATCAACTTAATGTGTCCTTGCTAAATAAAAGTATTAATTTCTTTAAAAAAACAAAAAATCTTACCAAGTCTAAACATTTGAACGGTAGTGTATAAATTAGTGCTGTCAAACGATTCAAATGTTTAATCGCGATTAATCGCATTAATGTTATAGTTAACTCACGATTAAATCGCACATTTTTATCTATTCTAAATGTCTCTTGATTTCTTTTTGTTACATTATTTTTTTTTCTCATTTTAATGCTCTTATCAATATGGAAAAGTGGAAAAATTATTATTGAAAATAACACTGGAATAGTGTTCAATTTCACACTAAAATATAGCCTATAAATAATCTCTCACACAATGTAACACTGGCTATCAATAAAAGGGTGAAAGAAAGAAATACTGACGAGGCCCTAATATTGGCGAGGGGGTGGAGAATTCGCATCATCTGTGTGTGTGTGTGTGTGTGTGTGTGTGTTTGCTTGGCCATCAAGTGGTGTTTCTGACTGGACGTACTGCGATGATGATCGCTCAGTTCACAATGACAAAACACACAGATCACTTGGTCTTGTCAATGGGACAATATGGCAACTTTTTAAAAGTAAACTTTCGATTCAGAATTTTAGGGCATCCATTTCGGCATCTCGCACTCGTCATCCACTCAAAAGTAACGTTACTATTTGGCCGGCTCGCAAGCCGAAACGACCTCACGCTGCGCTCTGAAACCCATTCATTTCAATGGCTTGCGCTGGGCGAGGACATTTTGTTGCTTCTTCGACCAAAGCGCAAGCGGATCAAGACCATAAACAAAACAACAGGCACGCCGCAAACACACGTTTGGACTTGCGAGCCGGCTTTGAGTGGACAAGCGCGAGACGCCGAAATGGATCAGGACGCATGCCGCGTCCTGTTGCAAAAGCATGTGAAAAAACTACAAAGTTTGCTAGGACAAAAAAGACTGTTAATCGCGCGATAAAAAAATTAACGCAGTTAAAATGGGTTTGCGTTAATGCCGTTAATAACGCGTTAAACTGACAGCCCTAGTATAAATTATAGCAATCAAATTAATCATTATAAATATGATCACCGCCAAGAAACCTAAAATTGTTGACATAAAATAAATGCAACTCAATAATTTGATTTAGCATCAGTGACTCAATATTTACAATGCTTCAGGTTAATGTCTTTGATGTAAACATAAGTGTAAACCGTCAAACCGATGGACTATTTACAGTCAGATGATAACCTAATTTGCAAAGATTACCGCAGACATTCCTGTAGCATCTGGATAATGCATAACTGACAAATACGTGGCTGAGATTTATTGGCTGGTATTCTGTCCATGGCAGGACGATTCAGGCCAAATATGCGGTCTGAGACAAAGAACTCCACTCTTTATTAAAAAAAAGACCGGCAAGACAGCAGTGGGACACTAAAAACTTGGCATGTATGCAAAGAAGAGAAGGAAAAGGGATGAGGATTTCACTACATGATGAATATGATCTACCTAATGTTTAGGTAGAAGACAAAATGGCAACAAATTATAAAATACGAATTTCTAATGAAACATTGGAGTCAGTAAGATTTGTTGATGTTATTCAAGAAGTCTAAACACCAAATTTATTTAATCAAAAATGTTAAAGTGTGAGTGTTTTCCAGTTGAATATATTTAAAATGGATTTAATCCTATGATTTTCAGCATCTTTATTCCAGTCTTCAGTCTCATATAATCGTAATCAGAACAATTTCTAAATTTTACAATTTTGTGCCGTTCAAGAAACATTTATTATAATTATCAATGTTAAAACGGCTTAATATTTTCGTGGAAACCGTATTTTTCAGTGTTATGAAAAAACTTATTTAAAATAGAAATCTTTTGTAACATATTTTTGTAAATGTCACTTTTGAACTATTTAATGTGCTTTTGCTCAATAAATCATCTCTTTAAAAAAAAAAAAGCACGGTGGTGTTAGGCTACGCTAAAAACTTAGCCTAAAGTAAAAAATAAATCGCATTCAAAGTATAGCCTATAATAAACAATCCAGATAGCCAATCAAATTATGACCTATGTAGAAATGCATTCAATGTATATCTGTATAGAACACAACTAATATGGACAAAGTATTTTTTAATTAGTCTAAGTTACCACTGATACACTCTCTCGAGACATTTGGAAAGTTACACAGTTACTTGCAGTGATGGCTTGATACGATTAGACCACCCAAACCTTAGCAAGCCGTTACAACAACATCTGACACACAAAATACACAAATATCCATTTCCTAAAACACGAAGAAAACTGTTTTTGTTCGGGCATTTCGTGCACATCTTTGTGTGTTTCAACTTACCCGAAGTCCTGGTCCATAGACTTGAAGAAGAATTTGTAGTTCGGCTTGTTCAAGACCTGTTTAAAATCCAACAGAGTGATTTTCTCAGCCGCTATGGGAATCTTCACCAAGTACGGCGTTTCCTCTTCGTCGATGTGATAAATTATTTTAGTCTCCGCCATGTCTTCGCCGGACTCAAACAACTTTCCCGTTGTTCTACGAAAGTATGGAAGAGGCAGCGGCTATCCTGCTAATGTTAGCCAGCGCTCCGGAGAAAAAGGGGGTTGAGGAAAGTCGTCTCTAGACCACAATACTACTATCCAATAACACTTCCCAGGCCAGCGCATCCAGCATAAACAAAGAAAACCAAGCGCCTAACTTTAAGTGTCTCGAACTCTCAAAAGTCTCATGATTTTGGTTTGTTAAAACACACTTAGCCTACACAACCAGCCAAACTTCAACAACATTCCTCCCCCTCCTACAAAAACACATGGGAGATTTGGACTAGTTCTCTCTCCGGCGTGTGACGAAAGAGAGGCGCCCGCCGCTTGTACTGGGGCACGTCCAAACGAGTGTTTTGTAGTACTAGGCTAGCTTCTAGTGGTGGGAATTTTGATTCATTCCATTGACTCGAATCTTTTAAAACAGATCACTAAAAAGATTCATTCTCTGACCCTTTGTGAAGGTTAAAAGGATAGTTCGCCCCAAAATTAAAATTCAGTCATTAATTACTCACCCTCATGTCCTTCCAAACCCGTTAAGACTATCGTTCATCGTCAGAACACAAATTTAGATCTTTTAGATGAAATCTGAGAGCTTTCATTCTGTCCATCCATTAACAGACGCAACTACCACTCTGACGCTTTAAGAAGTTCATAAAGAGATTGTAAAATTAATTCACATGAATTTACAGGTTTAGTCCAGATTTTATGAAGAGACTTGATCGCTTTATATAATGGAGAGATTTTATTCACATTTAAACATTGATCAGCGAACATAAACATGCTCAACCGAACCTGCTTGATGCGTGAGAACAAACCTCCCCATATCAACATTGTTTTGGCCCAGATCCAGCCCACATCATTTGTAGGATGCGGATCTGGCCCACATGCAGCATGGAATGATGGGCCTTGGGTGGCCCACTCCTGTTTGCCAGATCTGGGCCACAAGCAGGCCATAGCAATGCCACATGTCAGCCAAGAGCAAAGAAATAAACCAGAACTGGACTTTATCTGAGCCTCTAAAATTGTAAGCCACCGTTATGGAGATGAGTGTTTGCTTTAGTTGGGCTCTTGACCCTAATATTATAAACTTTATATTTTGCTTGGCTGTTATATCAGAGTTATACCTGCCAGATGAACAAAGAAAAAAGTGATCTGATGGTGTTGGTTATATTATGACATTATGTTTGTGATTTATTCTGTTGGTTACTGCATAAATATCCAGAATGTTAGATATAACATAATGGATTTCTTAAAAGTTGTTTAAAAAAACAAAAACTTTCTTATAGGCACACACAAACCTCAAGATTCAGTCAATGCTTCTCAACCATGGTGACGAGCAGAATATTCAAGTAGGAAAAGTAAATTAGGCTACATAGACAATTCAGATCATAATTTATTCATACCGCAATGCATGATGGGAGCCATTAATGCGTTGTGATTGGTGGCAACAATGATTATTATTGTCACCATGGTTGAGATACATAGGCCAATTATTGATGTCTGTGTTTCTAAATAAAGATGAAAGTGATTTGATCAGAACAATTTATATTAAATGTTTTGGATTATAAGAAAAATACAGATAATCATATGCTGTACAACCACTAAACTGTTGCTAACAAGTTAAACCAAATCATCTGAATAAGTTTAATTTTTCAGATCACAGCATGGTTATGTTAAAAATAACCAACACGATCAGATCACATCTGATTATAAATCAATAACAGCAGACAAACCAATTTTAAAGTGAAAGTATAAGTGTCAAGAGCCCAACTAAAGTAAACACTGATCGTCATAACGGTGGCTTACAATTTTAGATTTTCTCCTTCAGCGATTCTGCTTGTTATAATCAGGTGTCTTCAATAATGCTCAATCATCACTAAATTAATCACTTAATCATCTAATTAACTTTAACACTCATTAATATTTAATTAATGACAGAATTTTGGGTGAAGTATCCCATTAAGCGAGTAGGCGGCAACTTGTTGTGTTATGAAAGAGTCATTGAATTATTCACTGGTTAAAAAAACGATTTGTTCATGACTAAAAAAAATTCTTTTGTAAACATCAATGCTGCTCGAGCCTGGTTCATATTCAAAACCGAATCAGTAAATGGTGCGTGTTCATTCAGTAGGTCAAACCTATTACTTGTTGTTCCAGGATCCACAAAATATCTTTCCAGGAACATGTCTGACTTGGCAAGATCACGATGACCCCATACAGCCAGGCACAGGTTTTGTCAAATCATTTCAGTTCAGAGCCTTTGACAGGGCGGTTATTTGGTTAATAGGAAGTCACAATTGAAAATAGACCATTTTTTTTAGAATTTTTCAGTTTATATTGCTTTTATAAATTATAATTTTCTTTATTTAATTTGAGTAATGACATTATTCTACGTAATAATGAGGTTTTAATGTCATTATGTAATATGAATGATAACAATTCTTTCAAAAACAATAATTTATATTTTTAACTATACTTTTTAATTTATTTCTACTGTTTAAATAATACTGAAAAAAACATTTACTAGACTAATACATTGTAAATATGAGACATTCTAATTTTTACAACATTTTTACAAACTCCACTATCAGGTTATGGTCCTTTCCTGGGCAATTTTGGCAGCAATGTTCAATATTTGTAAACAAAATTGTAAGGTTTGTGTATTCAGAAATTGACTAAAAAGAATAAGAATAGTTTTCATCTCTTATTTTATATGCAAATATTTTCCAGCACACCTTGCCATGCAATCAAACCATTCACAGATGTATCCCTGTGTATCATCCACAAGAGGGACTCGTTATCATTTCTGAAAAAGCCTATTCTGGACTGTCTCCATGATGCTGCAATGCATTCAGACACTTATAGATCAAAACATCTTACATTCAAATGACAAAACAACACACATACAATTTGAGAAAAGAGAAAACATCATTCTTTATAAAATATGTAGACAAATATTCACATAACAGTCAAGGACAGGGATAATTGTAAGGCTATATATACACATATTGTAAACTAATTAATATAAAGAGAGCCCATAAAGTATTTGAACACTTGAATGCATTAAATAAATTGAATTAAACAAAATATTAAACCATCTTCATGACACATGACACGAGAGGAGAGCTATTCTCAGAACTAACCTTACAATTGTCCATTTCTTTTAAAGGTACACTAAGTAACTTTTTTTGTTTAAAATTCCCTAAATCAATCCTTCTTCTAAAACGTGTTTTTGTCTCACCCTATGGTAAGCCTATTTTAGACCTGTCGGGATGCGTACATGCGTCACTCGCCCGTGTGCGTCTCGTCATATCCGTAAATAGAGAAAACTTGCTCCGGCTACTTAGACGTATGTCTGGTGTGGGGGTGACAGAGACTAGATTTACAACTGGTAAGAAAGGATTACATGGAGCAGCTAACGCTGCCTTCACACTGGCAGTTTAAATCAGCTCCGTAATACGCAATACGTTCCCAACGGACGTCGTACTACACAGTGAAAAACGTCGGATGCGGGTAGAACAAAAATGGCGGAGAGATTAAAGGTTGATTCTGTCAATTCTGTATGATCTCTCTGATGAGGGTTATGCTGCGTGAGGAAAGTTGCTGAGGACATTGACATGTCAGGTCGGCTAAAAAATGTGATATAGTGGTCAATAGTTCAATGTCTACCTTCAATTTAATTGTATTAACTGCCTTTATAAACGTTAGAAAGTCATGAAAATAAAAAATGACATGACAACATATCGTTATAAAATCATTATTTATTTTATTAAAAGTTAATAATTCAGGTTTGTTTATCAGTACCATAGCAACGGTCAACTTCCGCTGGAATTGTCGGATAGGAACCGTCCGTAGCTTTTCGCACGAGTTCAAATTTTTGAACGCATCCGGATGAGCAACGGACACGATTTTCTTCGCACCGCACTCGGTCGGACCCGTTTCGGACCCATTCGCATGCGGTCTGCGAATTTCCATAGGAAATGAATGACTTCCGGTCATTTCGCAGCCGCATCGGAGCTGATTTCAACTGCCAGTGTGAAGGCGGCGTAAGTCTCAAACCTCCGGGAATCAGCCGTTTAAAGCAAACGCTGAACAGAGGAGAGTCTGCTGGCAAAAAGAGAACGAGACAGAGCTCGTAATAAAACAAGAATCAACATTAGCTTGGCTGTATTATATATATTGTTATTATAAAAGATCTCATTTGGGAGACGCAGGGACGGAATCAATAAATTAATGCATTTAGAGGATATAAACCCTTAATTGTGAAAAAATCGTGGCCCAAACACAACCCCAAAAACACAAGTCAGCACAAACGAAATCCAGAAGAAGATAGCCAGAACCTGAACACACATCAGGCTCTTCTTGTGTCTCCTCAAAACCTCCATCTCTCGACGCAGCACCCCAGGTGGGTTTTCCCGTTCTGTGCGGTCTCCCATCTGCTCCACCCTCAGACTAACAGTGGGCAGGATTATGAAACGGGTGTCCCTCTCCCCCAGGGACAGAACCAGGCGCTGGGTCACCGTGGACAGGCGGGCCGACACCGACGCAGGCAGGCGGAAGGCAACGGGAGGGAGCTGGGCGAGAATCCGTGAGTTGCAGGGGAGAGAGTAAGCGTCGCCACCTTGAAGCGGGGTGGAGTGGCGGCACAGGGGGCAGGAGATCGAGGGGGCGCTGTTGGGGTCAGGCGGGTGCAAAGGAGTGAGCTGGATTTTGCGGAGACACTCGGTGCAGAAGACGTGAAGGCATTCCAGCATGCGCGGGAGTTTAGAGACCTGGTCGTACTCCTGATAGCAGACCGGACACTCCACCTCTGGAGACTCTGAAGGCAGCTCAGTTTGTGCAGGGGTTGGTCGAGTCTCTGACATGATGGAGGAAGCCGGGATGATGCCACGGAGCTTTAGGGGACTTCCAGGATCTGAATTAACCTAGAAAAAAAAGTTGTTTTCATGTTTAAATAGCTGTTTAGGGAGAAAGAATGTTCGTTTTTGTTGCTATATTTAACGTCCTTAAAGGAACACGCTGACTTTTGGGGACTTAAGCTTATTCACCGTATCCCCCAGAGTTAGATAAGTCCATAAATACCCTTGACCTCTCCGTGTGTGCCGTAACTCTGTCTGACGCACCCACCGCTAGCCTAGCTTAGCACAAAGACTGAAGGCAAATGGCTCCTGCTAGCATACTGCTCCCAATAAGTGACAAAATAACGCCAACATTTTCCTATTTAGATGTTGTGATTTGTAAAGTCAACTAACAAGGTTACATGAGACACAGCCATCTTCTAACCGTATACATACAGGGAACTATATTCTCAGAAGGCGAAGCACTGCTACTTGGGCGGAGTGATTAGCGCAACACTCTCTGCTCTTCACCACGGGGCTTCTAGTAGTGCTTCACCTTCTGAGAATATAGTTCCCAATATGCATGTATAAATCACAACATGTAAATAGGAAAATGTTGGCGTTATTTTGTCACTTATTGGGAGCATTATGCTAGCTGGAGCCATTTACCTCCAGTCTTTGTGCTAAGCTAGGCTAGCGGTGGGTGCGTCAGACAGAGTTACGGCACGCACGGAGATGAGAAGGGTATGTGTGGACTTATCTAACTCTGCCGGATACGGTGAATAAGCTAAAGTCCCAAAAAGTCGGCGTTTTAATTTAAACATTTTCATAAAAACACAAATTTTAAGGTCTCCCTGTCAATAATGGTCTCCCTTAAAACTCATCTTTGACCACTTGTCTTAAAGCACATTAAAACACCACATAGGCTGATAAACAACATTAAAAGTTTGATTTTCACCACAGGGGGACTTTAAAACATCTTAGATTCTCATCTTATGCTGACTTTGTGTGTTATCAGAAATTTCCTACTTCCCACTTCTGAAGTTGCGTTTACAAGATCGCAGCGTTCAAGTTTGTCGGAAAGAACAGGAATCATGGAGAACACATTCAAGCCTAATTATTGGGGAAATCTTATTAATCTTACCATATGCTTCAAATTATTATTCATATATGTAAATATGTACTAACTACAAGACAAGGTGATGTAGCTGTTGTGAAAAAAAACTATAAAGAATAGCAATCACAGCAGCAATCGTTCTCCCCTCCGCCATGTTTAAAGCCTATGAATCGCCCAACTTGGATGTCAAAATTATCCCTGAGATTCCCAGTGGTAAATATGACTTGATGTCCAATTTTTAACTAGGCAGTTCATATTTATGATAATTCAGCATAAGCAGCAGGGATGCCACAGATGGACAAAGCATTTGCATTATTTTAAAGAAAAAAAAACTCACCTGAAGTAGTTTTTTCCACAAGATGATATAAATCCTAATTATGTAGAAGGTCCAAACACAAAAGAATGCTATACACATTAATTTAACATGTACATAACTCATACAACTGATAAAAACTAAGAAACATTATTTAAATGAGAATCTATCCAACATAAGATGTCACACATACAGGGAATTCTGGGAATGCAAATTTACAAGATGCCAAAACTGTATTTTACTGTAAAATTACACAAAATGTCTGATCTACTTATAGAAAGCGAACTTACTGGTAAACCAACAGGTTTTTACTGTAGAATTTTTACAGCGTTACAATACTTTGTTAGAGCCATATGAAAGATAATTGACCGCTCAATGAAAAATGTAAGTTTTAAGTGCTATATCCATAACCATGTTACATATATACATGCAAATAAAGATGGAATACGCCACTTTTTTATTTACTAGATTAAACCTGCTTAATCTAGTTGATAAATAAGTGGAACTGACCCAAGTCACACATCCTGCACATGAAATCACTCGTCTTAGCACAATAACAAAACATCACTAAAGTGAAACATAGATCTCGTGATTATGATTATCAAATGTGTACTGTAAATACACTCACATATGGTAAATATGAAAGTGCCATCTATGGTTTTGTAGTTACAATAACACATCTTCATGAGGATTTCATCAAGTTTAGCTTTCTTGTGCACAGTGAATGGGAAAAAGATTCATAAATCTCAAAAAAGTGTACAGATAACTGCACATACAAAAAGTGGCTAATACAGAATTGTTTAGAGCTGTTTACTTCTAATATACCCAGCTGTCTGTTGTCTTATTAGTGTTGCAGTTTCAATCCAACTCTCAATGGGGGAATATAGTCAAAGCAACCATCACTCACAGGAGAAGCAGCCTAGCAATGCAAGTCTCTATAGAATTATAGCAACAATATCTTAGAAGTGCAGACGTTGACTTTAACATGTATTAAAATGTAAGGGTTGCAGATCTAAAGTGTTTATTTTGTTCACATTTGTAGTGGCAATCTACAATTGTATTTGCAATACCACACAATAAACACATTTGACATCTGGTCGTGACGTTTTTTTCAGATGTAGTTACACTGACAATTCTACACTTGGGATATTTATTCGAGAAAACTGACTGACAATACAATAGAAAGGTCAAGTGAATCTATAATCATATTATATTAATATTCTATTAGCTCAAAGCGTGACAGAAGGATGAAAGTTTCACTCACCAGTCCAGCACCTATTATATGAGTTCTTTCAGGATGAAGCGGTTTGTGTGTTTTCAAACGCGAGTACGGGGTCCATTCTGGGCCAGTTTAAAGTCACAGAAAACAAACTCTTGACTCAGCTTGGTCACCGTCTAACACCACCTGCTTTTACGCTGCACATGTGTGTTTCTCTACGTTTACCGTCGTCTGGTTTCATGACATGTATTATCAAGAGATGACTTGGTTTCTAGGAGAGGGAACCGCACAAGAGCTATTGTTGCTGTGGGATGCGTTCATGGATGTGCAAAAAAATGCAAAAATATTACTTTTACATCATTTTATTTTTCAAATGTTCTAAACAGGTGATAAAGAGAACCCTTTTAATAATAATGACCTTAATGGTGCGTTATTCAACAATAGTTTATTTCGTTAGTAGCCTATATTAGTATTGTTAATATTATTTATTCTTCTTCTGTCTGGCTGGTCTTATATGTTGTTGCAAAAAATGCTTCAATGAATACATTAATAAATTGAACACGATATAGTTGTAATGAAGACCAAGTTCCAGTCAAATATCTTCACAATCCCCTATGAAGTCTTTGCGTCCTTCATTATGTGTGAAGTTTCTCTGGATGATGAAGTTATTGTGGAGACAGCATCTGAAATACACAATTGAGTTTAAAGTTACTTACAGCATGTCTCTTCCATTAATTATGTACCAACAATTATGTTTATGAATGTCAAAATTAGCATAACATGACAGTATGTGTGCCCTGTACTGTGTTAAAAGGAAAAAGTGAGTCATGGGATGGCTATGATGTTTTTTTGTGAGTGCATGTTTAGGCATAAAGTAATACTTTAAAAAAAAATCTGACATATCATAGATTCAATATCTTACTTTGTGGAGAAGAGAAGATGAGTATCCTTACCTGATCAGAGCTGCTCACACTTTTGTACACTCAACTAAAAAAAAGAAAGACATGATTGGTAGGAAACCGGTTATTTAGCTACAATTTACAAAAGTAAAAATTTAGTCATATGATATTAGTAAATAAATAATTTACCTGTTTAGAGTGTGTTGACAGAGTATATGAGCTCCAGAAAATCAGTAATGAGGAGGTTTTGACAGCTTCAGATTTGAAAAATAAAAAGGCGAGAATAAAGAACCTTAAACTCCAACACAAAGAACCATTTCAGCATATAAAGGTTCTAAATAGAAGTGTTACTATATGGAAAATAATGCTGTAAAAAACATGAAATTAAGCTAGATATAGAGCGATGTGATTTACCAAATGATGCCAATGAACATTTTGTAATGATTTATTTGTGCTTAAAGGAACAAAAAGAATTTTTTTTTTTGGTGGAAAAGGTTAGTAGACCCATTTATCACTATTCAAAGTGCATATGAAGTGCATAGACCTTATAAACCTTTCTGGATTGATCTTTAAAAAAAAAAAATCAGTACAATTGGGTCCAGCGTTGTTTTGGACCATAATAACATATATATATATACACACACACACACACATATAAACACACACACATTATATATGCACACACATAATACACATTATATATATATATATATATATATATATATATATATATAATTTCACTTTTCAGTGATGTTCGAATTAAGTTGGGGCATTATTAAGCCAACACTGTAAAATGACACAATGTTTAGTACACTTACTTCTCACATATCTGCACTAACATGGAAAACCCATGGGCAATAATAACCGACTAGCATTTTGCTGTTGTTACATGAGTAAATGATTAAAAGTTTTTGGCCCTCGAGTCACACAAGACCGTGCAGACGGTCACATGTCTGGTCTTGAAGTGAGTGTTTAACAGCACGTTGAACTTGGTTGGCAGTGCATATCCTCAGCCCACCTCATACAGTTCACTTTCTCAACTTCCTTTGACCTTTTATTTTTTGTCTTGATCACGTCCTCTTTCACGACTTACAGGAAAACACAGAAATTATAGTTATATGTATTTGTACAATAATTTAACATTATAACACATATACATCTGTGAGTGTGTGTGTGTGTGTGTGTGTGTGTGTAATATTAAATTGGGTGTATGAGTCTTGAAAGCCATGAACTCATAATGCTGTTCAAATAAACTTCATGCATTATTAAGCCCAGATACACTGAAAAAGGTCAAACATAGTGATTATTAAAATGTTGACGCACTCTGAACTTCGATCTAAACACAAAAGCATTAGATTAGAAATGTGGGTTCTGAAGAAGAATGTTCCGTGACGGCCGGCTGAAGCCAGTTTCGAGTCAGAGACACACCCAAGCCCAAGTAAGGGAATGACGGGGAGGGGGAAAACGGGAGGGGGGTGCATTCTGGGAAATCACAGTGGGGTAGAGTGGTTTTGTTTGGATAAGGCTCTTAGCGCTGCTTGGTTTATATTTCCCTTACTGTAATCAATTGTTTATTTTTATACAACAGTTGTTTCCACCATGACTTACAGTATCGGAGATCTCAAGTGTTTCATAAAGACACTGATTCGGTATGTAGGGGGAAAAAAAAAACATTTATTTGACATAGGCCACAGTTTTAAAAAACCCTACATAATTCCAAGTGTTTGTGACAGGTTCAAATGTCACCTTTTATCTAAAAACACACCTAAAAGAAATCCCCCTCTTTTGACAATGATTTACAACTAGGCCTATTTACGAGAATTAATCCTACAGTAGCCAAATATCTACCCCCACACACACACACCAGTAGTATGGTTTCGGTTTTCCCTTTGATGACGGGAATATACATGTTTTCATAAATCCTGGCAAAATCAGAATATGGGGAATCCCAAGCTTTAGGGGTGAATTCAGGGAAAAGTGCCACTGGTAAAAGTGTCCCAATCGACCTAAATTAGCCCCGTTTCTATTTATAAACGTAAAGACTGATAACATCTGTACGAAAAACATGGTAAGACACGTAGGGCAATCTGATTTAACTTTTGATCAAGTTAGGTCATGCATTTGGAGGCCAAATGACATCACCACGCCTAGAGCCGATGACATCACTTCGTTTGTTTATACACGCAAGTCCTGTTGCTAAAGGAAGTTTCCCGAGTGGAAGCCGAAACACACACCCCCCTCCTACACACACGCCTTCGCCAAACGACTATATAAGAATCTCCGAGGTGAGTCATCGGCACTTTATCATCAACTAAGAGGAGTTCACGACAAGAAACAAGCAACCAGGACACCATGGTTCCAGAAATCGAGTGCGGAATCTGCTACCGAACTTACAACGCCAGTCGGAGGTGTCCTCGACAACTGAGCTGCAAACACTCGTTCTGTGAGAGCTGCCTGTTGACGCTCGCAAAATCCGCGGAGAGTACCGTTACCGTAGCCCGGATAGTGTGTCCGCTGTGCCGTCACTCCACCTCGCTCTCGGCGGAGAGAGTCCAAGACAACCTGCCGGTAGACGAGGACATCTTTGAGCGAATAGTAACCGCGTGCAGCTCTGAGGAATCAACGGATGATGATGACGACGACACCGAGGAGCCCGAGAGGGACCCGTCCAGCCCACCAAAAGAGGACGTTTCGCCACCTCCAGCTCCTACATCCCGAAAAGGTCACCTGATGAAAAGCATAAGGCGCATGTGCAAAAGAGTCACCGGGAATCGTGTGCGGAGAAGTGAGTATTTACGTGCTCGTTATAAACTGGCACCTGCGTTATACATTAATTGAGTACCTAAATACTAATTGGCATTTGTGTTTTCAGATTGTTTGACTAATGAAGACCTGAGGGACTTGGCAACGATGGCCTGCTACATGATGTGAACGCGAACTGTTGTTCTCAGACGTTCTCAATCAAATGATGAAACCACACATTGATAAATCAAACCCATTGATGAATCAACTGTTGAATAACACACTGGTTTACTGCTAATCTGAACAATTGGTGTGGATGTGGACCCTTCAGTGTCTTTTGGTGTCAGTGGGCTTACTGCAATGGGAATATATGAATGCCATGATCAGCGCCGGCCCGAGCCTTTTGGGGGCCCTAAGCAGAATTTGATTTGGGGGCCCCTCCCACGACGCGGAGTCACCTGTGTTTGACGATTATTGACATAAATGTCACGCAAAAATGATACATTATAAATGAATACACTGAGGTTATGTATTAATAAAAAAATAGATGCCTACTTAAATAAAAAAGTTTGAAAACAGTCTTAAAACTGTCTCAAAACATATACAATAAATTATTTGCTAAAATTATGACAAAACTGAGAAATTAGAAACGTAAGAGCAATGATACTTTGGCCTATCCTCCTGGGACCCAGGAATAGACTTTTGTCCACTGTAGTGGACATTATATTTTAGTGTATTTCTCTGACACCATGCATGTCACATTTTTTTTTTCTGGATGTCCTGTAAAGAGCACATTCAGGGCAATACAGAGATACCAAATGTTTGGAGGTTTCACCATGAAAACAACTTCTCCTTGGTCTTTAAAAATGTCTAACATTAATTTAGTGATCAAATGTAGCACTCTTATTGAAATATGGTAATATATTGTAATTATAATTTAAATCTAACTACTTTTCAAATTGTATTTCATCAACCAACATCTCATGAAAATGTTATGGGGTTTCAAATGAAAAAAATGACTTTCCGTTACAGGGCATTGATTTCATTCATGTCCACTGTAGAGAACATCAGGACATAAATCATGTTTATCAGGCATTCTGGGAGACATAACAAGTGAATATGTAAATAAATTATACGTCAATATTCTTATGACATATTAGATATTATTATTAAAATGTTGCTTATTATTACGCCAATGCTTACACTTCTTTCCTCATTAAATGTTGCTCCAAGAACACATTAATGTGCAAATTATACAGTGTATAGATACTTTGCATTGAATGGGAATATTAATTTATGCCAATTTTACCCATATATTGCATAAAGTAAATTGGTGTATCAATTAATTCCATTATATCTTTCATAACATAGTTGATAATCATCTTTATACAAATTTTAGTTCAAAAAAATCCTGAAACCCCAAAATGTATTGGTGATTGGAAAAAAAATCCCATTGTTTTTGCCTACACATTGTATGTCATTTAATTTTAACAACTGAGTCCTGGTGTCCACTACAGAGGACAAAGTATTACATATGAATAAAATATAATTTTTTTTTTTTTTTTTTACCATTTGTTTATTATGCTCTAAACAATGTGATGACATGAAAAAAAACTAAATTAAAAAAAAAAAAAACTTTCTGGGTCTCAGCTATTGTTGAAAACTAAAAATATTACTAGCCTATTTCTCAACTGTCTCAATACAGAGTAACTATCCTCAAAATCTTTATTATTGTTATTATTATTATTATTGTAACAGACTTTGTTATATAGTACATGACATAATCAACACAGTCTGTTACTATAATACCGGTTATGATGTTCTGGCGCTCGTTGTATGTGTGTATGCAATGTATTTTTCCCCTCGGGGCTTGCCGTAGATGGGTCGTGCGCACTTGCTAGGCTACTGGAGTGTCGCGGGTGTTTGGAGATCTGATGTGTGATATAATAAAGTGGAGAAGAGTTCAAACTGCTATGTTTATTATTTATTCAAACTGCTACCCTTACACCTTGAAGGATAAGTTCTCCTGCGGGCTATTTTCTCCAACTTAAACCGATACCGTGACTAGGCGCAGTTGCGCACGAATTGTCTATGCACGCGCGAGGTGTCTAGAAGATTATGCGTATGACTTAAACGCTGGCAGACAGAGCAGCAGTTGTAACTTGTAGGCAGGTATATTGACCATTAAATCAGAATTTTGTTGTCTTGAACTATTCATTCAGTCATATTCATTCATTCATTGATTTATGTCACTTGTTTAAGTCATCTAAAAAAATAAAAAATAACCTCGATTAGGGGGCCCCCTGGTGGCCAGGGGGCCCCAAGCAGCCGCTTAGTTCGCTTATGCCTCGGGCCGGCCCTGGCCATGATTGTTTGTGTTTTGACCGAAGAGGTGGAATGTCAGTGCCTGTGGGACTGTTTGCTGTTGGGTGTGCCTTGTTGTCATAACAGAAATGTAGGGTTGTCCCAGAGCAACCCATAAACATAAGAACAAAACATGTTAAAAAGCTTTTTTTTCCAATTCTGCTGAAATGAACCACATTGCCAATAGATTATTAATTCAGGCCAATGTTATTTCTTTGGTGCTGTTGTTTGCTGTTACGAAATCATGTAAAGAAAAGGGAAGGTTAGCATTACCTCTGTTTTTTGTATCCTTATATAATTGTAAGGAGTTTTTCAGTGTTACATTTGTATCAAATAGAGCCTTAATTATGTTTGTACTGTACAAGTTTCAAGATCACTAATTATTTTTATATATTTATTTTAAGTATTTTACACTTATTAAGAGAACATTTATTACTGTGTACCAAATAAAACTTTTTATAATATTTATGACAAGTTTAGCACTGTCTTGTTTTCAGAAAGTCCCACATTTTCTTAATATTTCTAGAACCCATAAAGATATGTGAGTATGTTTGCTTTGTGCGTGTCTTTAGCTTTAAATGCATTCAGGTGAGCCTCATCAAGATCAGCACGATACTGATCAGTGAGCCCACATCAGCAGGGTAATTTTGAGCGGGTGTGATAAAAAAGCTTTGTGTGGCACATAAGCACAAGTTCATTAGTCCTTGAAGCATGTCTCTTCAATACTATCTGAGGTAAGCGTTCAGTGCTTTATTGCAACAGTTCATAAACCCATTTATCCGTTATTGTAATTCCTAGGAATGACTACTCTTTTTCTATAGACTGCCATTGGTTTGTGTGATTCTCTCTGTTGTGGGATGTATTCCTGAACTCTCAGTAGGTAAGACTTAGTTCCAAGAATAATTTGAGTCTGTAACTATTTAGGATTGCTTTAGGTGTTTTTCAGAAAACTTTGAAATAAGATTTGGAGTTTATAATATGACAAAATGACTTGAATTATTGACAACTTGGTGCAATCTAACAAAATTGAATATTGTGTGGAGTTTTAAGGACTATTATTAGAAATCTAATAATCAAGCTGTGTTCTAATTTCTAATTGTCTGTGTTCTACTCTTAATATAAAAAAAACGACTGATGATAGATTTGCACCAGAAAACAACGTGCAACCAAAATTCTCTGTTTGACTTTTCTGAGATCCTTTACTCTTCCCTGTGGATGACGTATGACCTACTTTCTGTACAATCTGAATTTTCCACGTTTTGAACTTTAGAAAACTGAATTTGAAGTTCCGAATTTCTTTTTCATCTTAAACTTAATGTTTAAAATGGTATATTTGCACTCTATGAATTAAGAACAAAAAAATAGCTGTCTGAAAAAACGTGTCTATTATATTCAGCCATAAAACATTTCAATTCATTAAATTTCAAATGTTCAATATTCGTTTGAAGAAATCAAATTTAGAACTATTTAAAATTCCACGTAATATTACATTTTGTTGAGATTACACTTCAAATTAACACAATTCAAATAATTTTGTCAAATGTTAAAGGGATCCTCCACTTTTTTTTGGAAATAGGCTCATTTTACAACTCCCCCAGAGTTAAACAGTTGAGTTTTACCGTTTTTGAATCCATTCAGCCGATTTTCTGATGTTTAGAAGAATATCAGTAACCAGACAGTTTCTGGTCTCATTGACTTCCATAGTAGGAAAAAAATATACTAAGTCAATGAGACCAGAAACTGTCTGGTTACTGATATTCTTCTAAACATCAGAAAATCGGCTGAATGGATTCAAAAACGGTAAAACTCAACTGTTTAACTCTGGAGGAGTTGTAAAATGAGCCTATTTCCAAAAAAGTGGAGTATCTCTTTAAGCTCCATATTAAGATGGCTTTAAATTTTCTGCTGTTTCTATTTCTATTTAGAAATAACTTAAGTATATTATGTGTTTAGGAGACATCACGGAAAATGATCCAAAGATCAAAGAACAGTCGTTGGAAAGTTTCAGAAGTGTTAATCCAGCCATCCAAAACCCAGTAAAACGCACTCTTCAAAGGAACGTAGAACAATTTAACAACCAATATCCACTGCCGAGGTTCAACTCCTCTCTATTCAGCCGGAGAAATGATGGCAATGCCAAAAAGCCAAGCTTCAGTCCCACCGAGGCAAGAGCCTCTGCAGATGTTGCCTATTACCGTTCAGTCCCAAATACCTCATCCAATGTCAATAGTAGACATAATCATGTTCAATTGTCAAGCGTCAAATTTGATGGTGGAATTGATGCCAAAAGAAGCTATGCTTTCCAAACAGTCCAACGGGAACAAAATCCTTCATACTTCACCGGGAGCCAAAGGAGCTCAAGTGATATTAATCTGATGAGGAAAGGTCTGAGGAATGAAATGCGTGCAGCAAATGATTATAGATCTGGGTCATTTGACTATCAGCATATTTCAAAATCTAAATCAGTAATGTATTCAGGCAGTTCAAGACCATTAGGACTCAATGAACCCTATTTGAGGGGAAATATTTCTTCCCTGCCGATCATCAGACCAGCACATGCTAAAAAAATTCCAGCTAATTACATGTCTGAAAGCTCAACTGTGAAGCACGACATGAGGCACAGAAGTGATGGAAACGTTAACTTGCTTCAACACAATGGGCACAATCAAAAATTGGTACCATCAAGTCCGTCTCTCTCGATTGTAAGAGCAAATCCGCAAGCGAGCAAATCATTGCCACGTGACTTTTATGCTGGTGCCGAATCCACTTCCTATGAGAATATGAGGGATGTATCTCTTTCCAAGGTGTTCAAACCTCCAGCTGTTCAAACCCCAATAACTCCTGTGATTAAGATGTCAAATTCAAATAGAGGTCGAAGCATCCTTCCCTTAACAAAAGCTCAGATGTTTTCTTCTCAACATGATCAGGTCAAGCAGTCCAACTCTGAAAGGGTCGCCAGCCGAAAAGAAAGTCCACCAAGTAGCTTTGAATATGGAAATACAAAATCGGCCATGAGCAGATACACTTTCCAGGACATTCAATTGACGCAGACACAAAATGCGTACCAAAATCGGGGACAAAGTAGTCCGAGTTCTACACCCATTCAAATGTTTCACAGTCAAAACAAGTATGATAATTTGGCCACAGTTATGTCTGCCATCAGGCCTTCGGAGGCCAATGGTGCCCGCTCTTCCAAAGAGTCTTTATTAGATGTAAAAAGTGGCATCCGAAGTCCTGCACTGTCCAAACAGTCGAAACAGGGCACATATTTGACCCCACGAATGCACTTTGCAAAGAACACCTTGCTTTCAGAACATGCCGTACATTTGAAGCTACCAGACTCAACATATAATTCATTAAAGAAGCCAAGTACGCATAATGCACGAAACAGGACCAATCTGAATCCCTTCGGCCAAAGTACAGTACAATCATTCGTCACTAAAAATTATCCAGTGCCAAGTCTTGCGCCGGGCTACACAATGAAGAACGTCCACGGCGTAAGTACATTTGTGTCTGGTCCTCAAAGCACTTCTGAATATTCAGGTATGTCTACAAGCCGAACCCGAACATATTATCTGACTTCTAAAAAGCCGTTTGCTTTTAGAGGTTTCATGTTCAGCCCTACGTTGAATACATCACAAAAAACAGAAATCCAAAAATCTTTCATAAACTATTTATCTAATGTGCAACGTGCCCCTGCTCATCCTCGTAACGCCCTTAGTGCACTTGCTCAAAAACCCTTGACGCCTAATAGCTATGACAAAAAAACACTTTTCAAGATCAAGGACATTGAAGAAAGCCAAGAAAAACAACCTGATTCTTTTGATAACGAACCTCAGCGTGAAACCGTCTCTTCAACTGAAGCTGCAAGTAACGCTGACGCTTCAAAGCCCCATTCTGTTCGAGGTCAAGCTTTAGTGAAGGAAGTAATCGGCACAAATACTTCAGCGGGTCTTGGCACAACAATGGAACATCCTAAAATGGCGTCTGATGGATCCAAATTGGATGAAGTCCAGTCAGAAACATCTCAGAATTGGATTTCAAGCAGGTTTACTACAGCACAGAACACTCAAGCTCCGACTGAATCTAACCAAGGTGAAATACCAACAGTGAGATCCTCAAACGGTGTGTTTGTTGGACCCAACACTGACTCGGCATCCATGAAATCTAGCAACGTTCATTGGGATCCCACATCAGAGCCTGTTCTTCCGATCCTCAAGTCTTCTCTTATAAAAATGACTGGATCTCCTCAAATGGGCAATGTTGTTATCCAGCCACTTCACTGGTTTAACCTCAAGGAACATGAAGGTCTGGTAAATCCAACAAGGGAAGTTACGAACTCAGTTGGTGTAGCACAAACAAATAATAGTGAATTGAGCCCAAGGAGTAGCGTCGTGACTGGTAGGCAGGTTGAAGTGACTCAAGAAGAAAATTCAAATGCAATCCCATCCTCTCAATCTGTAATATATAGACCTGGCAACATTAGTAGTCATAAAACAAACAGCTCGTCGATTATATACAGACCTGCAAACAAACATAGCAGTAAAGCTAACATCAAACATGCTAATTTAACTTCAGTCTGGACGAATGAAACAACTCCAACCTCAAAATTGGACATTGACCTCAGTGCTGTCGGTGTGTCCCAGGCATCAAGTCCCACAAGCAGCTTTGTTGTCGGAAGGTACGTTAATCCATTTAATAAAGCCTCAACCAAAACAAACCTCAACATGTCTTCAACAAAAACAGGACTTAGCAATTATAAACCAGTCCAGTTTTCAGATATAGCAGGTAGCGCCTTCTTCACAAAACCACGTTCTGTCGTCAGCAAGGCAAAGGAAGTCGATCTCGTAAGTGATCAAATCGCCTCTAATTCAACCCAATTGATGGAAGAAATCTTTAAAGAGTTGCTTTTAGACACAACAATAAGCGATTCCTATGTGACATTTGCCTTACAAAATGAAACTGATGAAAGTGATTTGGATTTAAGTGGACCTGAGCTTATGACAACAGCTGCTATGGACATCACCACACGATCTCAGCTTCCTATAGACATCACCACACGGTCTCAGCGTTCATTTACAGAAGACTATACTCTACCTCAACCAACTGTCTATTCGTCTGAGCCACCGCTGGATCATACTACATCTACAGCAGAGTTTACTGATCCATTTTATGAGGGAAAATTGATTGCCAATACCACTTTGTTGGTCGCGATTACCTCAGGATGAGATCTGCCTCGTGCATTATTTACTTCAATGGTGGCCGTCATCGACACCAAAAGACTGAAATGTTTCTCTTTTCTGTAGGTAGATGGCGCCAGATCCGTCATCAAATTCATTTGCATTAAATTTGTGAGTTCTGAGTTTCTTGTAGTTTTCTCTTTACTTCCCTTTGATAAACAGCATTTGTTAACATAATTTTTGGTTAATATTTCTCCCAAGTTCTTTTTTCAAGCATAGCAATATATTGAGATTAAGATGTCTTGTATCAAACTGAGTCTACAGTAATAGCCTAAAAATGTAAGTTTTAAGATGTTTAGTTGTTAATGAACATAGTGTAATTAGTTTACTTACGTGGAGATAGGCTTATACTGTACATGCGTGAACATGTATGTACTTTCCTAATAGCTTAGTTCCCAAATTCCCCATGGATCTGGGCTTAATTTGCTGGGAATTTCCAAGTTGCCTTTTATGAGTGCTACTGAAAACGATGAAAACAATTTTAGTTGTTTAGGAAAAATCCTAATCTCAAAATTGAAAATAATTGAATAATTGTTTATTTCTGCATTGGTAAAAAAAAAAAATCGTATCTAACTGGGTCATTCCTGTTGTGCAGTAACTTTTAATCGCTGGAATTTATACAATAATTAATATGCTTGTGTTGTAATATTTTTATGAAATTGAATACCAGACTTTCAGAAATTTATATTCGGTTTAAAAACAGTCACTTTATTCAACTTATAAAGTGGCAAGAAATAAGAACCTTTAGCTAATGTCAGTTATCAATTACGAGGTTACATGACGATGCCTGCTTGGTTAATTGTGTGATATATAAAGCGCAAAACAGAATCCATCAAATCCATTGCTAAAGTGTAACTAGAGTTTGTGTGGTTGGTTTTTATATCAAAATGTCACTCCCTGTAGTATGATGCCATTAAGATATCATCAAAGAGTGATCTTTTTTATATATTTATCTATTTATTTTAATAGTGAAATTAAGGACATGGGAAACAATGTTCCCAACATGTTTTGTTTAAAATGTTTAGAGTAGAGAGAAGAAAAACTAATTAACACTTGACAAAAAAATGCAATGTGTAACAGTAAAAACATTTAAAATGTCAATCCTGTTCACTTAGGCTAGTTGTGATATTGAGATGAATGGGAACTGTTTAAAAAAAATCTATCATGATTTTGCTAAGTCAGACATACTTTGTTGATTCTGGAACATCATTCCTGTCTGAAAATTTTGTCCTAACCTTATCCCTACCCCTATATACCTAACCTTATTCCTAAAACCAGAGGGGAATAACACTGCTGTAGAAGCACTTAAAGCTGTTTGTAAGCCTAAACTTGACATAAACAGTGAACTTGTACCTCAAATCTGATTGGTTGATTGGAATATTGGTCCAAGATCATGTTGTACTTCACGAAATCAAGTTCCCCTCCTTTCCCCAGTTTATTGTGATGGCACGAAAATGTAGTTCTGAAATAAGATTGACTTAGTCAGTAACAAAATTTAGTCCACAATATGTTAGGAAGGTTGATCCAACAATATGTTTTCAGTGCGTGTGCCTCAGATGGCCACCAGATGGGATGTGTGTGCTGTCAGAAGGATCTCACAGGGGTTCTTGGAGTTTATGGTGGAGTTGTTTTCTTCTTTAATAAGGACAGAACTGCCAAAAAAAAAAGAAAAGTATACCTGAAATTTTTATTTGAGCAAGCATGCAATGTGTGAACACACAATTATCACTCTGTAGTATTTAGCATACAATAAAATAATCAACACGTTGAACAAATCATTTCTGACTAATCAAAAAACATCATTAATGAGGGCTAGAGTTTTGGTTCTGCATCAAAGCCACGTTTGTAAGAACGACCCCTAACCTTTTTCCATTAGAGGGGCCTCAGTAAAAAAAAATCCCCTTGTCTACGCCCCATATGAACAGCCCAGCATGAGGCCAGGACAAAGAAAAAAAAACTGAGGGGTTTTCTGTCAATCATGACCACATACATTGTACAATGGATTACTACACTTCCCCCTAAAATGCTTTGACATGGGAACATTCCATTCCTTAAAAAGTTTACCGTGAGAATCTAAAGCTTTACTGTATAAAATTACATTTGAAGTGGATCAAAACCTTTCATCCAAGTCATACATGAATTTTGAACGAGACCCGTTCTTGCCTTAGGACATCTTTGATGCACTTTTTTGATCCACTTCAAATGTTGACGACGGCATTTTCCCAGTCTGACGACAAGTATAGGCTAAAAGACAAAAATGCCTGAGTGTGTGAACACGTTGCATTCTCACCCAAGTCGTCTTGTTTTTCCCCTCGCTCCGTCCCTCCCTCTCTCTTTCTGAGGGGGAATTCTGTAGCATGTGTCTGTGGGATCGCAGGCAGCTCTTGGGGAAAATAAAATCTTGAGGCCCCGTAGTGACACGACCCCTCCCGCTCTTCACACACTACAGCTAGTCTTAGGGTACAGGGAGCCTTTTTGTTCAGATGTGAAGCCAATTTCTGATTCAGCCATTCAGAAAGAACCCCCTAAATCTCATCTGAGCTTCCTCAGTTTTACTGTCTAAACCGCTTTTAGCACATACACATGTTGATATGCTAAATATGGCCATTAGCTGGTGGAGATACATGGAGTGAAATAAACTGGTCAGAAAGAAAGCTGTTTCAGTTTAGAAGTAATGATGGGGTATTAAAATGCATTAAAACATAATTACCCTCCATGCTGTGGGCGATGAGAACGCACAGCAAAACTACTGTTCCCCATCGACCCGCGTCTGCTGAACTTTGGTTGGACGATCCACTCAAACGACTGGGCAATCAATGAGGCTCATGGATTAAACGCATTACTGACTACAACTGTGTCAGATTTAAATCTGTGAGATTAAACAGAGGACTGTAAAAAAGAACGTAAATGCTGAATTAGCTTAAGATAACCATGACTACTGTGTCTGTCACTCTCTTTCTCGTGTGCACATACTTCCTGGCCTTCCTGCCTCGCTGAGCCAAAAGGGAAGTAATAAAGCAGGAAGACTTCCTTCTGCAGCTCAGCTGTAAGAGAGTGTGTCACGAGGCTAAAGCTGTTAGCAGCCCTATAAAATTAGCATAAGGTGAAAGCTAACAACTTTGAGGCTAGACTGAGGTGAGCGAGGCTAGTTGTAACACACATGGTTTAAAAGTTTCCACACATGCTAAGCATCATATTTTTAGGTAGGCCTATTTACTAGTTCCCTTGTCAACACAGGGGTGAATTCAGGGTGAGTGGGACGCTTTTTGCCATTGAGATGACTTGGGAAAAAGAGTCCAACTTCCAAATCAACCTGAATTCACCCTAGCCTAGCCTATATAAAGCAAAAATTGCGCCTCAGGGTTGCCAAGTTTTGAGTACAGCTTGGAGTGAGAATTGTTCCTGTGGGGGAATAATTATTCATAAGCTTGCGATTCAATTTGGATAGGCTGCACATAAATGTTTTTTTTTTCCTAGGGAAAAAAAACGTATAAAAATAGGCAATTTAAACTATACAGGGAACCTACTAATAAAGGATTAAAATTAACAACTTATTTGTATAAAGTTGCATTTTAGACTGTTTTTGTAATAATGACATAATAATAATAATAATAATATATTAGGCTAATTATAAGAGTAAAAATATAGTGAATATGTATAGTGCTTTTTTCGCAAAATGCTGCTCTTTAGAAAACATTTTTCTCGCTAAACTAACGTTATAGTTTGGACACTGAATGGGTTTTTTTAGGCCTGGTTACATGACATTGTTTAAAATCTGTTTTATTGTCGTCTTTCCGCAGTTGAAACAATTACATGAGAACTGATACATTTCAATAAACTGTGGGTTCTTTTAACAAACCTTTGGATGTTCATTCTTGTTTATTTTGTGTTATAACAAGTAACGTTAAAGAGAAAGTGATAAGTTCGCGCGCGTTTGAACTGAGGAACTACAGCAATCGTCACGCCACATTAAAGAGCGCCAAAACGGTATTTATCGTTTGAATTTCGTAATAACACTTACAGAATTTGAAAGCCGAGACTTTGTTTTATATCAAAAGTACTCTGTATTGTTTTGTCTGTAGTACGTTGCCCGTGTCCTCTTGCTCCGCGATGTTATTTTTAACCGTGTGTCGTGTGTGAGAAACTGGACGTATGGCGTGGACGTTGCGTGAGTCTCGCGCTGAATGCGTCCCTCGCATTTTTTTTTTCTAAATGTCTAACTTATTATTATTTTTTTCTTTTTTATTATTTTTTTATAACATTTCTAAATTAAACAGGATATTTCTTTAGAAAAAATAGTGCATGACTTAAACATTAAACATAGGGAATTTATTGGATGGAGAAAAAAAATGTGCAGTGCTTGTAGATATTTGGTTATTTGTTATTTGTTAACCCTGTTTGACCAAATAATGTAAAGAAATAGGCAACTTTAAAGTCCCCATGAAATCTATTTTTTATATAGAATATTGCAGTAAAGGTTAAACAGGGTTAAAAAAAAAAAAACCCCCAAAAAATACACTTTTCTGCTTCTGCCAGCTCCTGATACATTCAGCTTTTTGACATCATGTTTGTCCCTTCTTTTCATGTAAATAGTTCAAAAAGAGTAATGCATTTCTTTCCTAGCCTTCAGCCGTGTGCACCCCCGGGACCAGGCGGTGAAAATACAGGCACGTGTGGATTACAAACCAGGTCACGGGAAGAGCAGAACCTCACATCTGCGTTTCTCCTGTAGGTGAGAGTGTGTGTCCTCAGTGGCCATGAGGTTTCTCATTTTCTCAAGCTACTCCTGTAGTAACAGGCCACCCATGAGTATGTGCCCTCACTTCCAATCCTAGACGCCCAGCCTCCTACCCATGTCAGTGTGTGTGTGCATGACAGTGAAACCAGACTTTCCACATAAAGATCTCTTTTGTGTTGGTGTAACGTCCATGAAAAATGTGTGGAATGACCCTTAAGACTCTGTATACTATATGGTATCAGCTCTGACTAAAGCTAGACCGCTTGCTATTCATAGATGTATAGCCCGAGATACTGTTACACAGAGAATGCAGGACAGGGCGCATGCCATGGATGCCAGTTCCACCTCAAAATAAAGATAAAAAAGGTAATTGAGATAAAAAAA